GTCAAGTACAGATTTTGTATTTTTTAGTCTTTGATTAGGTTTCCACTTGTCAACAAGGACTCTATTAGGGTGATTATTTTCTAGCCTTTTAGATCTTTCATATACTTCTAAAGAAGCCCGCTTTCTTCGAGTTTCTAATGGCTCAATATTTGTGTGGATTTCACAGGCCGCAGTCGGTGAGGATCTCATTCCGCCAGAGATAAGACGAAGAGCTTGGTTTTGGATGGTGTCCATTGAGTTCTTTGTAGTTTTACTGCAAATGTTTTGTAAAACAAGATTATAATCAAAAACAGCTCTGGTATTTCCTAAATAGAGGCCTCTCAAGGTGTTCTTGTCTGATCCCCAGTTGGTACTGGCTAGTCGTTTGATGAGATTACGTCTCTTCATAGCCTTCTTCCTAAGGTTGTTGGTGTGTTGTTTCAGGCTGAGCTTGCTGTCAAGTTGTACTCTAGATACACTGGGTTATTCTCATTTTTCAAGTTGGTACCATCTATTTTGAGAGGGATTTCTGCATTTGCAAGGTTATAGCTTCTCGTAAAAACAAAGTAGACAGTTTTTTCGCAATTTACGTTCATCTTCCATAAACGGCAATAGGTTCCTAGGGAATTTACATAATCTTGCAGTCTTCGCCGGCTTATTGTTGTCGAGTTTCCAGTGTGCCAAAGGACCAGGTCATCAGCAAAAAGGGCGTTTTCTGTTTTGAGAACATCTGAAACATCATTGAGGAAGACAAGGAATAAGGTACAGCTGATAGAAGATCCCTGTGGGAGTCCTTCCTCCAGTACTGCTTTTGAAGGTAGGGTTTAATCCATCTGGGTCTGGATAAGTCTATCTGTAAGGAATGATTTAATCCAGGAGTACATGTTTCCCTTGATTCCCATGTTCTGCAGTTTTAAGAGTAGTCCTTTCCTCCACACTCTATCGTAGGCTTGTTGGAGATCCACAAACACAGCGGTTGTCTGTTTCCCTCTTTGAAATCCATCAATGGTTTTCTGTGTAAGCCTGAAGAGCTGGTCTTCTGTCCTGCCTTTTGAACTGAACCCTGCTTGACACTGTGATATCAGACCTGAAGACTCAAGCCACCAATAAAGACGAGAATTGAGGATTCTTTCACAGAGCTTGCCAATACAGGATGTGAGTGATATTGGACGGTAGTTTTTAGGGTCATTGGCCTTCTTTCCTTTCTTTAAGAATGGGTTTATAGTAGCTAGTTTCCATGCTTTAGGCAGATTTCCCTCAGTCCATGTTCTGTTGTAGAGCTTAAGAAGTAGCAATTTGGCTTTTTCACCAAGGTTTTGTAGCATCTCATTG